TGGCATTCATGAGGCAACCATTCCCCTAGTCTGATTTCCCATTGCAAATGTATTTTCTTAGTCATTTAGCACTCATGGGACTACCTGAAAGAAGGAGGGAAGGAAGGACTCCCTAAAACCCACAAACCACTGCCATCAAGTCAATTTTGACTCACAGTGATGTCTAGACTAGAACAGTCCCTGTGGGTTTCTGAAGATTATATATATATAATATATATACATACTATCTTTTGACAAGTGAATTGTCCAAAAGGTCCTCCTCATCATTTAATAATTATAAAGACTCAGACTTACAGTAAAAAAGTAAAAAGCACAACCTCCCACAGATTGCACACCACCCTGCAATGCCTCAGTGGAAGACTGAGAGGGCACAAGTCTCAGAGGTGGGAGTCAGGGGCAAGGGCAGGGGCAGATGGGACAGGTAGGCCCCCCTCTCTAGTGCCAATCTAGATACAAAGCACAGAGGAGCCCAAGACCGGTCAGTCTGAGCTGGAAGGCACATGGAATCAGCTGCCAGTTAATTATAACCCTTTAATGACACAGAGTCACAAACCCAATTACCCAATTACAGGAGAGGGTTAAATAAGTACCGGGCAGACAGCCTTGCCGTTGCCAGAGCTGGGTTACACAGGGTGCGCGGGTTGATTCTGCATGATCAGTTTTGATTTACGGTTCAGGGGCTCTCCATGCAAGAGCATCCCAGAACCTGCTGCCTGGCTCCCTGGCCCAGCGATGGGCTTTCTACCCAGTGAGGAGTGAGTGGAACACAGGGCACAGAAAACTTGGCAGACATGGACACAGTGACACGGGCAGCACATGGCACTGGTCCCTGACTGGAAGGCTGAAGGAAAGATGCCTGCAGTGATTAAAAACTGAAAGGCCACACATTGACCCCTTTTCCTGTGCATCCAAACCTTAGTAAGTCTGGCACTAGCAGACAACGGCTATAGCCCTGAAGTCCTGGAAGCAGTTTCTGGACACAGGCAGCAGCTGCTTCCGAGTGGTGGTCTGTTCATCCCCACAAGAGTCCTGGGGGGATGCAGGGGGGGAAGGCTGAGTGGAACTGCTGCTGCCCCAGGCAAACAGGCAGGCCCAGCCAGCCTGTCTAGCTGGGCACCACAGCATTGTGCTGGTCATTACCAAATAGGCTTGCTGCATAGCCTATCTACATCCATCCACGTCTCCTTAGACAACGCAAGGCTCTGCTCAGTCTTGGCAAAGACCAACCTGATGTGGGCTCCTGACTATGGTGCACAGAGGGTGGCTCAAATGTCCAGTTTTCCCTGGGAATCTGGCTTTAGTGGGGTGAGTTTGGGCTTGGAGGACCAACCCTTGGTGCTGTCAGAGAGATCAGGTATTTGGTGGAGCTCGAACCAGACTCCTTGTCAAAGTCCTGATCCCTGACAGCAGGCTCTTCAGCGGAATTGCCACACCACGCTCCTATCAGCCTGATGAGGGCCACAGGTCGTACAGCTTGTCCCCAAGCAGGAGCATAGGTCCAGGACACTCCTCCAGTGTGGAGGGCAGCAAGCTCAGCAGCAGGCCCCTGAGTACCCACAGGCGGGCCACGTGGTAGAAGTTGGTCAGGTTGGAGATCATCCTGGATCTCAGCTCTGGACCTCTGAGCAACTCCCCTCTCTGCTACTGCCCATTCCTCCTTGGGGACCTTGAACCCAAGCACTGCTTGCTCCAGGTCCACAGCATCTTCCT